GTTCCGTGGCTTCAAGTGGGAGATTGTTGAGTGTGAAGCCAGGAAGCTAGGTGGAAACTAACAGGAAATTGACAGGAAACTACCTAGAAGCTTCTAACTTCCCTAATCATTGTGCTCTCCTAATTATTCTCTATTTAAGAGATGCTAATGTGCTTGTAATTGTGGTGCAACAACAAATAATAAAATCCTCCTAGTTGCCCAGTGTGGACGTAGGTTGCAGTTGGCGGCCGAACCACGTTAAATCCTGTGTCGTTTATTTTTTCTGCAGTTGATTCGTGATTGTGTGTTGTTTCCGCGTGCGTTTATTCCCAACAACAACTTGTCATGGCAACAACCGCTATGAACAGAGGGTCGTCTCCTTGGATCCTGCTGATGAAAAATTCCGAGTTGTGATTCCACTTCCTGGTGTGGCTGCCCCAAATGTCACTTTTAATGGGCTAAACATTATCGAAGGCTGTTTTTCTACATTTTCTGGTGGTGGCACCTTTGGTCCAGATGTTGAACCAGTGGAAGTCTGGGTATTGAGAGAGTACGGGGTGAAGTCTTCTTGGACAAGGCTTTGCCGCTTCACACCCCGTGCACTGCCCAAAACTTGTTACTTGGTGACACTACTCTGCTACAGGGATGACGGAAAGGTCATTTTCGATGTGGGTGGGTCCCGTCTGGTTGTTACGATAATTGCCGTGTCATCTTTCCCAAATCTAAGAAGGGTTCAGATTACTTCTATACTGTGGTTTACGTCGAGAGCCTCGTTTCTCCCAACTAGTTTTATATTTTCTCATCCTGGATCAACAGTTAGTTTTGAGGGTGCAGAACTATAGCTTGGTTAAACCTTTAAGACCAAACTGATTTTTGCAATGCTAGAAGTTTTATGTTTGCTAAGTGCATCCTATCCTATATATATAATATCTGCTTAGTTGCGAATGTTATTAATCTTCTTGACCTTGTTTTCAATTGACTTATGAGGTCGTGCAGGTCGGATTTGATCATTTATATATGCTATTTATTGCTTAAATTTCAAATACTCTTAATTAATATATATATATATATATTGTTGTTCACTTGTCCTAGCCAGAGTAGTGTTTCTTCTTCCACAAAATGATATGCGAATCTCGGTACAGTTTAGATTATTTAACATATGAGTACAACTAGGTCTTGGCATGGTTTGGACCTGAGCAGGCGCCATAACAAGTTCCTTAATGATAATGCTGCAATGCTTGACTGGAGCTATGGCTTCACATCATCATAAAAGGTACGATTTTGTGCAATCTTTAAACTGTTGTCTTGATTGGGTGGTGCTAGTGGTACATTGAATAATGTAACCATGCTTTACTAGAAATCATTGAGACGACAATATATGCTATGATGCAGAAAGTGAAACTTGCACTACTACATAGTACTAAAACATACTCCCTCCGTCCCTAAATAAAGTTCCATTTTTGACTTTTTGAAGATTTAAGGGAGGGATATTTTGGTGTTGACTTTCCAAAAATACCCTTGATGTGATGTGTTAAAGTAAGATGTGATAGGTAGATTATCAGTAAAAAGGTATGATGTGATAGGTAGGGTATGAAAAAGTAAGGGGTAAAAGAGGTTTTTTAAGGGAAAAGAGAAGTTTATTTAGGGACAAAGAAAAAATGAAAGAGGAACTTTATTTAGGGACGGAGGGAGTATGTTTTTTTCAATGTAGTAGCTAAAACTTTTTGTTCCCTAAATAGTACTTAAATAATGTCCAATGACAACAACAATGTCCAGCAGTGGTGGAAATTTATTTTGAATAATGTCAAGTGGCGGTGGACATTTACTTGAACAATGTCCATTTGACATTGAACAATGGTACTACATTGGGAAATTAAAACATATGGTATTACATTGAAAAACTCATTACGTTTTAGTACTATAAATTCCTCATGCAGAAAATCATCGAGGAAAAGAAGTCATATATAGTCGATGAAATGAAGACATTTATGTTAGTTGATTTGCTTTTTGGACATTTTTCACCCCCCTTTTATCACCGGTAGAGCATTTTTTGTTTACACAAGTTCTATGCCTCTCACTTTGAGTGACCACGGAGGACGCCGTCCATCTATGGTGCTCTGTTCGCAAAAATGATTGTTCCCACGTCAATTGCGGGGTGCAAGTTGAGGGGGCTTCGGGCTCAAATTGTTTGACCTCAAAGTCAACTAAACTTGCACCCCGCAATTGACGTCGTTGGATGGAGGGATTTGGGTCGAGACTAGGTGGGCGGGGGGGGGGCATTTACCACGTGGTTAGTGGTAGAAACAATCACTTTCACCAACGAAGCAACCACGCCGTTTTTTGAACAAATGTTATTTTTCAAAAATCTGTGTAGACTTTCAATTCCATTGTATAAGGTCTTTCTTTTTTCCCTTAATTTTAATGGGAGAAGAATTTCCAGAGTATACTATAACCAGAGCCTGAAGTCCAGATAGTGACTTAAACTAAAACTTGGAGTTTGGTGAATAGAAAATGGGGTTAAAAATTGTACTTTGAAGTCTGAAAACTATGCAATTGGAATATAAAGATGAAAACAACATTCACCTAATCCCTCTGTCCTGTTGTAGAGTTTACACCTTTTTCGTTTGTCTTGTTTGAAGGTTTACTCTTCACTCTTCAGTCTCTAGATTGGGGACGGAGGGAGTATTTAGATTCTAGGGTGTATTTAGGGACTGTTTGGCAACTTCTGAATAGGTAAGTGCCGAACCAGTAAGAGGTCTGAACCATTAAATGCTGAACCAGTAAGAGGTCTGAACCATTAAAAACTAGTATATTGCTTAACTATTCAAAGGCAAATGTCTGATCAATTCAGATAAGAGGTCTTAACTATTCAGACTCTGTATAATACTTAACCATTCAGAGGAAAATGTCTGAACCATTCAGACATCTGAACCATTAAGAGGCTGAAACAAACAGTCTGAACCATTAAGTGCTGAACCATTCAGACATCTGAACCATTAAGAGGCTGAAACAAACAGTCCCTTAGTGAATCTTTATTTGAATCTAGCACTTTGAATGGGTACGTTTATCACCATTTTTTTATTTTTAGTTTCTCTACATAAATAAAAAACATGTCAAATTTAACTTTGTTTTGCATAAAATGTACTCCCTCCGTCCCGAAATAGATTACAATATTCCCTCACATTTTTGTCCCAAAAAGAATTACAAAGTCAATAACTTACAAGAAATTGATTCTTTTACCCTCCCACTCCTACACTATTTACACACTATTCATCCATGTGAGTGGGAAGGATACTTGGGGGATTTGGGGGGTAATTTGGGAAAAAAAATTAATTTGACTCTTCCTTAATTTCAACAAAAAAAGAATATTGTAATCTAAAGTAGGACGGAGGGAGTAAAACGTTTTGATTGAGAGGAAGAAATTGCCAAAAAAGATGGTTCTGGAAAGTCCATTCCCCTAAGCAAAGTGACGAAATTATTGGTTCATAATGGGAAATACACTGTGAGTGAGTGGTTGCAAACACTTCTTTGTACTTTGAGGACATGTTTGACACTTTCACGTCGGTGGAACTAATCAAATGATTCTTTTCCATTAGGAAAATGCTAGGGTGCCACCACATGGGTGCTACCATAGGTGCACCCATGTGGTGGCACCCTAGCATGGTCCTTTCCATTATTGTCCAAAGTAGAAAAGCTGTGAAAATTTATGCCAACCAAACGTCCCCTCTATACAACTACCCCCGTACCCAACGTCATATATATTCACGAGGGACCATGTTTTGCACATTTTCCTTTCGTCAAACATAAAAATAAAATACCCACTCCGTCTCAAAATAAATATTCTCAGTTGAGTTTTAAATTTTTTTTTAAGAAAATAGCATGGTGAATATTTATGTAGGAGAGAAATTAATAGAAATTAAAATACCCACTACCATTTCTTTTAATAGAATAAGAAATTAATTTTAAGTTATCCAAATAAAAAAATAGGTCATTCTTTTAAAGACTTAGAGAATAGGAATATCAATGGTAGTATAAATATTTTCTCTGTCTCTAGGTAAAGTTTGCAATAATAACAATGTAGAATAACTTTTTTTAGTTCATTTTGTTTGAGGTTTGGTATAAAATAAAAAAATATTCCAAAAAAGTTACACACGTAAAAATTATTATCACCCACCATCTTATTATTTTTGGGACATAAGTGAGTGACACGAAAAGTAAGATAATGTTACAAATAAGTTAAAGTAATAATGAATGCAATTTATACTAAGTATAAATATGACTACATATGGTATATATGAAACAAAAAATCGGATAGAAGAGGAATTATATTCTTCCTTCGTCTTAAAACTCCCTATTCGAAAGTAGCAATACTGATTCCAAGAATTTTGGTATCCATCAAATTTTATGGCGCAAAATTATACTCGGTAGAGTAATGCTAGGAATATAAAAAAATGGGCAATGCTAGGGGTACACCAACATGGGGTACCCCAAGTGTACACCAAGCCAACACAGACACATACAGACACAAAATGTTTGTGCAACACAGACACTTTGTGTCTGTGTGTGTCTGTGTTGGCTTTGGTGTACACTTGGGGTACCCCATATTGGTGTACCCCTAGCTTAATTCTACAAAAATACTTCATTTCTACAATATGAATCTTTCATCCATACAATTCTTACCCAATATCTAATTTCTTATCTACCTCATATCCATCTACAATTGTGTGATAGTAAGTCAATGATGTACAATTAGAGTATACTTTTTGATGTAACTTGAACATTTTTCTAGTAGAATAAACTTAGGAGTATACCAAAATAGGATACTCCATTCGTACACTAAGCAAACACAGACAATTAATTAGTGTTTGTGATCACAAATACTAAGTATCTGTGTTTGCCTGATGTACAAATAGAGTATCTCATGACTCTTTCTTTACTTGGGCACAACAAATGCTACAACCCTCCATTCCCTTGTTATCATTGTCACATTCAATTATCATTCCATCAAATGTATGGGAAGTGGGAAGCCATTTCTTCTACATAGTTCTTGGCCATGCATGGCCAAGATTCCCTCTTCTTTCCAGATTCCAATAGTACGTAGACCAAAGCCACTAGGACAATGCCACGTGTCACCTCACCTCCCCCAATGCTCTCTTTATAAACCAATTTGCAGCAGACCCAAACACGCCTCACTGCTCCCACTATTAGCAGAGTGAAGAAACCAAACCCCTCACATCTGTTCTTCTTCTTCTTCCAAACAAATCTTCCATTTTTTCCTTTCTGAAAATGTTCATCGAGAGCTTTAAGGTTGAGAGCCCCAACGTTAAATACACAGACGGAGAGATACACTCCGTTTACAGCTATGAAACCACAGAGCTTGTCCATGAGACCAGAAATGGAGCCGTCCATCAATGGGTTGTCAAACCCAAGACTGTCAAATATGAGTTCAAGACAGATACCCATGTCCCCAAACTCGGGTTAGTTCCCATTTTACCCCTCAAATCTTTCAATTTGATCCAAAAACATGGAAAAGATTGGATCTTTATGGGATCTGGGACACCTAATGCATGTTTTATTGATGATCTTTTGGTAATTTGTAGGGTTATGCTTGTTGGTTGGGGAGGGAACAATGGGTCCACACTGACTGGTGGTGTCATTGCAAACCGAGAGTGAGCTTCTTCTTCTTCTTCTTCTTTAATCAGTGCCAGTTTTTTATTGTAAAAATTAATGCAGTATTAGATTTTCAGATGATATTTTAAATGTGTTTTTGGGAATTTGGAATTTTTTGACATGGATCTTGGGCAGGGGGCTTTCATGGGCTACCAAGGAAAAGGTGCAGCAAGCCAATTACTTTGGTTCACTCACCCAAGCTTCCTCAATCAGGGTGGGATCCTTCAATGGGGAGGAGATCTATGCACCTTTCAAGAGCCTTCTTCCCATGGCAAGTTTCTTTTTTCTTTGGTTGAAGATGTTGTGAATGGTAGAGTCTACCTTGTTGTTTCATTTTTGGGCCTGTTCAACTTTATATTTCAGTTATCCATTAGACTTTAGTTATTGGAATCTAAATTCTTGTTATTCTAAGACTCCATGTTCCAAGACTCTAAACTCTAGCTCCAAACACTAGATCCACTTAAAATTAAGGCAAAAAGAAGACTCCCTTAATCTTTATCTAAGAAAAAGATGCTGTTGAAATGGTATAGTACGGAGTATCATTTATATTCTTTATTAAGATATAATAAAGAATATTTCTCTTTCATTCACCAAGGGTAATTTTGTAATTTGAGATAGGCGTGTGCCTTCACAAGAAGGCAAAAAAGCTAGAACCCTAAAAAGATTCTTAATTTTAACTGGCCTAACTCAATTAAAAAAATTTAGACCAAATCTGAGTGAGTTGGATGGGAGCACAATAATTAGAGAATTTAGCTAGCATGTTGGTGTGTTTTATATCCATCTCATAAATAAAAAATCTTGAATTTATTGGGTAATGGTTTTTTGCTGGTGGAGAACAGGTGAACCCAAATGAGATAGTGTTTGGGGGATGGGACATAAGCAACATGAACCTTGCAGATGCCATGGCAAGGGCCAAAGTCTTTGAGATTGACCTACAGAAGCAGCTGAGACCCTACATGGAGTCCATGGTCCCTCTCCCAGGCATCTTTGACCCTGATTTCATTGCTGCCAACCAAGGCTCACGTGCTAACCATGTGATCAAAGGAACCAAGAAACAGCAAGTTGATCAAATCATCAAAGACATCAAGTAAGCCATCTTCTCCTCTGTGATATTAAAGTTTAAACAACATAGTATATTCCCAACCCTTAGGGGATTTGAAGGGTCAAGATGCATGCAATGTTACCTCGGTGAAAAACAAGGACGTTTTCCTTTAGACCCTTGATGTATTGCTGCACTTATTTCCCAAAATTTAAAAAGAAGTAAGAAAGAAAGAAAATTTAATGTGCCGTTTCGATTTAGCTCATTTTTTACTCAAAGCTACAAAAAATGATTCTCTTAAAATCTTTGTAAAATTTCTTGAATATAGTTTGTAGCTTGTAGATGCAAGCTATCTGTGCTGTGGGTTTAGTAGCCAATGTTAGTTTGTGTACTTCATGTCTTTGTGTTCTTACTTTTCCCGTGCTACTGTGTTTACTATGTCTGTGTGCTTGTGTTTGAGCCGAAGGTCTCTTGGAGAAAACCTCTCTACTTTCAGGTAGGGGTAAGGTTTGCGTACAAACACCCTCCTCAGATCCTACTTTTTGTGCGATTTTACCGGATTTGCCGTTGTTGCTTTAAAAAATCTTGAATGTGATGGTAGGGAATTTAAGGAGAAGAATAAGGTGGACAAGGTTGTGGTGCTATGGACAGCCAACACAGAGAGATATAGCAATGTGATTGATGGGCTGAATGACACAATGGAAAACCTCTTGGCTGCCTTGGACAGAAATGAAGATGAGATTTCCCCTTCTACCCTCTATGCCATAGCCTGTGTCATGGAGAATGTGCCCTTCATCAATGGAAGCCCACAAAACACTTTTGTCCCAGGTTTCATTTCTCTCTGCCTCTTAAAAACATGGGACCTCATTTTGAGTAGCCCTTGAATGACTTTTGAGTCTGAAAACCGAATCCGAGTAATAGCGTGTAGTCTTTCTTGAATGACTACTGAATTTGAAAGGGACAAACTTTTTTTTATAACATTTATTTTGAAATTTACAGGGCTTATTGATTTGGCAATCAGGAAGAACAGTTTAATTGGAGGAGATGACTTCAAAAGTGGACAGACCAAGATGAAATCTGTTCTGGTTGATTTCCTAGTTGGTGCTGGAATCAAGGTATGGATACTTGTATGACCATAAATCTTGAATGTTCAAGAAAAAAATGTAGTCTTTAACTTCATAGAAAAATTGAAGACAATATATGTTTCTCCAAATGGACCTTGATTGTTTTGGTTTTTTTCTTCCTTGGTTTGATGTTTGGAACAGCCAACATCAATTGTGAGCTACAACCATCTTGGTAACAATGATGGCATGAATCTATCAGCTCCCCAGACATTCCGTTCCAAGGAGATCTCAAAGAGCAACGTTGTGGACGACATGGTCGCCAGCAATGGCATTCTCTATGAACCCGGGGAACATCCCGACCACGTCGTTGTGATCAAGGTAAAAAAAACAAACCATAAAACTATTCTTGGACCTGCGACCACAAGCTCGAGCTTTCGGCTAAATTTGGTTTTCGGACATAACGTTTTTATTCTAAAGACAACAAAAATAATTCGTGTTTTGATGATGAGTAGTACGTGCCATACGTGGGAGACAGCAAGAGGGCAATGGATGAGTACACATCAGAAATATTCATGGGGGGAAAGAACACCATTGTTCTCCACAACACTTGTGAGGATTCACTTCTTGCAGCTCCCATTATCTTGGACTTGGTTCTCCTAGCTGAACTTAGCTCCCGGATCCAGCTTAAATCCCAGGAAGAGGTATATAAATTTCATTCTTTTTCTGTTAATCTTCTTGGCTCTTGTAGTTTACCCATGGCATGACCCCCCTAGATAGGCTTGCTAGGTAAATGTAATTTTCCAAACATATATACCCTTACTCTCAAGATTCATATGATCAAATTACTATGCTTTATATATTTGCAGGACAAGTTCCATTCCTTCCATCCAGTGGCTACAATTCTCAGTTACCTCACTAAGGCTCCTTTGGTAAGTCTTCACACATTGGTTTTTTCTGGCTTAGAATCCTCCCCTAATTGTAATTAGTGCCTGCTTTGTAAGAATCAATTGGCTTAAATGACTAAACTTCTGATTAAATATAGGAAAAATTCATCTCAATGCTCTAAGAAATTTGAGGTTTTTGCACAAATACTCTAAAATTCTGAGATTTTACACGAATACTCTTAAATTACATAATTATCACTGGCGTTCTCAGAATTTAAATATTTTTACACAAATATTCCAAGATTACAAATTGATCGCAAATACTCAATGAAACAATGAGGTATCCTCCATGTGCAATAAAAAATTTCATGGACTATTATTGTAAAAAAAATTGAATTCTTGTAAGCACCCGTGATAGACTGATAGTTATATAATCTCAAAATATTCGTGACAAATCAGAAATTGTGCGGATTAACTATTAAAATGTTAAAGTTAAACACTTCCACTGGACTTTATCGTCGCCAATGAATAACTCAAAAGTTGATAATGAGGAGTGTTTCTTAACATTATGTTGTAATGTGGTGGGGAAATGAGAGCAGGTGCCGCCTGGAACGCCGGTGGTGAATGCGCTTTCGAAGCAGAGGGCAATGCTGGAGAACATTTTTCGCGCTTGTGTTGGTCTGGCGCCAGAGAACAACATGATATTGGAATATAAATGAGAGCTGAGATGCTCTCATTTATACCCAATATCAAGTGTAGATGGAGAAGAATGTAATGAAATTCTTGCAATAATGAAACCATCATCTTAGATTCCTTGCCTTTGTCTTTCTTTTTCTTTTTCTTGTAGTGTAATTTATGGTGTGTGTAATATATATATTTTGAGAGCCAAAGCTATGATTTCTGGCTTTTAATTTGTTGTATAATATTTTTATTATATGAGTATTACGTATCCAGGCTCTCTAGCTTGATTTTATTAACATATTGGATTGGATGAAATAGACTCCTTCCTCCGTCCCAATTTATTATGTTATTCACTATTTATTTATTTATTTATTCAGACTTTATCTACATTTTTTGTTTGTTTATTTGTGTTACTTCTCGTAAGATCCAACAGGATTGTTGTTGTTCCTTACAAATATATGTGTTGGTCATTTAATGAACATTAGACGGAAGTAAAACCAAAATAAAAAATATGCAAAATGAACTTTTTGTTAGTTCTAATTAAAATAATACTCAATGGTTGTAGGGTTGTACATAAGCTAGATACAACCAGGTGAATAATATACGAACTCCGACATCCAGACCCTTATTAACATTATGAGTTTTTTACGTTATTTACCCTTAAACTCGCCATAATGTGCATATATTCCCTCCGAAATTTAAAAAATGTATCATTAGTCCTTATACTTTTAATAAAATGTGTGTTTTACCTCCAAACTCTTTAAGTAGTGCATGTTTTCTCTCCGAACTTTTAAAACTGCACCATTAGTCTGTACACTATTCATAAAGTGTGTGCTTTCTTTTTGAATTTTCAAATATATCTTTAATTTAATCCTTTATTTTTTAAAAAAATGTATGATTGAAACCCTAAGAATTTTTTTGGTTTAATGTCTTTAGCCAAATATAATAAAAAAGATAAAAAATAATATGACTAATGATGTATTTTTGAATTCTGGAGAAAAGCACGCACTTTATGAAAAGCTTAGGAACATATGCACTTTATGAAACACTTTATTAAAAGTATATGGCTAGTTGTATAATTTTAAAAGTTCAAGAGGAAAACAGGTAAAATTTGAAGAATCCAAGGGTAAATGATACAAAAAATTCATATTGATGCATATTTGTCATTATTGTAATGATCCTATATGACATTGTCATTATTATGCTTAGAGAGTATTATCAAAAAAAATTATCTTCCTCTTTTTGAGTCTTTCTAGCTAAATTTTGAAAAAATTAAAAGTTGTTGAAAAGGATCACCATGAATAACAATAATTATCAGCGTTAACGTTTTAAAGAAGCTATCCACGGACAGTATTTAGTCTTAGCATTTTCAAAGTAATTTGCACATTTAAATTTTTATCCAAAACACTAACACTAAAAGGTCTTATATTACTTAAATAAAATATATTTATAATTATAATCATAATCTACACATTCACCACACTGAGAACTATGCATATATAGGCAAATACATATAACATCCTAATTTATCAACATCAACTGAAGATCATGAGTTCTTGGTGGCGGTTGTCCAGGCGACAACCACCGTCAAGCTCTTCCCCGGCGCGGCGGCCGGTGGCTAAACACCATTCTTTCCACTCTTCACTTTGTTATTAATAGACTTCTCCTTTCTTTCATCTTGCAATATTTTTTGCTCCCTACACTCTTGGCTACAAAATGCAGTGTCACCCCTACATATACATCCATGCCCAAATATAACATAAATCTCGTTTATTAGAAAAAGACCCTTTTAAGAATTTATTCTTACAGAACAAGTGTAATGTACTTTTGAAACCGTCCAAAATAAATAAATAAAATTTTTTGGTAAAAAGGAATATTTGACCAAGTGAAAGTGGTGCCAATAAATAACTTTGACTAATTAATGAAGTGTTTAATTAGGAGTAATTATTATGAACACTACAAATGAATGAAATGATTGGTGCAATAATACTTTCAATAATACTCCGTAATACTTATCTTTTAGCAATCTTTCAATTTGACCCACATGATACTTTAATTTTAAAATTTGTTTTGATGAAATTTTGAGTTTTTCATTATTAAAATAGAAAACAGAACTAACACAAAATGTATTTTAGTACATCCAGAAAAAAGAAAGTAAAATTTTTGGAACATAAATATATACCGTTTTTTAATCTCAATTTTAATGTTTTTGTTTTTAATAACTGGTCAACTGGGTAAATATGGTCAAAGTATATACGTACCCACGCACCCACCTGTACATAAAGATGTCACGACAAGGCACCAAGCGGCGGTTACAAAGGCCACACGTCCTCAAGAAATTTGGCGTCTCATTATGGCTGCCTTCGCCGGCGGCCGTCTTTCCTCCGCCGGCAAACTCCTCCGGAGGCTGGCCGTGCTCCGCTTCACTACCGCCGTCGACGGTGATGCCCCTCATGCTGGTTGTCCTCCGGAAGCTCGCCGACCTACGCTTTCCCAACATCTTTTTTAATTTTTTCTACGAAAAAAATGTACTATTTATAATTGTATTTTTAATAATAATAATTATTATTTTTTGTTACAAAGAGAGAGAGAGAAAGAGGATAGAATAGAATGATGAGTGGAGTTTGGGAGGAAGTGGATATGATTGTTGGCACCTTTTTATTTGCACAAATGTGTCACCATAATTATTTGTGTGTATGACTTTCTAATTATTTGTAACGTACTCCTTCCATTTCATATTAATTGTCTATTATGACTTTCTTGATATATTCAAAAATTAATAAATATAGACATACTTTATGTCTACATTCATTCATTTTTTAATGTACCAAGAAAGTCATAATGAATAGTTAATATGGAATGAAGTGGTATATGACCATGGATTATTGATCCAGTCGAGTCACATTGTTTGTAGTATATCTTACCAATAATAAAAGAGGTACTGAAATTCTACCCTGGCTCGAGTGGTGGAAAGTCCACTCCTCGAGATTCATGGGAAAATTCATCCAATTTTGAGCCCTAGCAGGGACAGAAGTATTGATTTTTTGTACGTCATTAGATTGGGAATAATATGAACATACACTATCTTGTAATAGAGTCACTAGCATTCAAAAAAATAAAAGAGATAATTGTTTAATTTTGAAGTTAAAATTTGGTTTTCGTACGTACCACTAGGACTAACACTAAAAACAAATTCAATTTCAGTTAGGTATAACTAAACAAGTGTAAACGGTGCATATTAATCCATAGGTCCAAGCTAGAAGTCATGGTTTATTTCTTTCGGTGGGACTGCAGTGTGCTTGGTTAGTAAGTATTAAAGTTTATCTTTCAAAGTTTAAATTTGAATAGAAGATGACAAATCTCAGTCTCTATTAATCAATCTAGCTAAGATTAAAACTCAATTTACCATCTTTGCGCTTGAAAACTACTTTCCAAACCCATTTTAGGGAATGAAGTTCATTCTTTTCTTTTTTATTAATAACGAACATGAAAAATTTAAAAGAAACACTCTTTAACAAAATTACTATTTGCGTCACACAAAAAATTTAAAAAATTAAAATGGTAAAGTGAACAACTCATCAACATAAAATTTCTGTAAAGTTATCATTTAATATCAAATTAAATTTAATGTTAACAAGTTTCTTCCAACAAACACAAACTTAGTTACTACCACTTAAGACAATAAGTTGTGATAATTAACCCCATTCCTGGAGTCCTTGGGATTAAGAGGGTGATATTTCCTTGTTTCGAAATAAACTTTTTACTTTGAACAAAATGTAAACTCTTACATCCTGTGAAATGATTTTATTAGCAAATTACTCCTCCCATCACATATCTATATTTGTGTTTAGTATTACGATCTCTCGTTACTTATGTTAGTATGGATGTCATTGATCTTTCGATAGACTAGAATATTCTTGTCACTTCTTATTTTCTAATATTTTAATGTAGTTTTGATACAATATAATTTGTACTTCTTATCTTTAGAAGTTATGTCAATTTGTAAATAAAATTATTTTAAAAGAGATTAAATTTTACACGTTATTTGAAACAAGAAAAAAGAAATGACAAGAACATGAGACAAAGGAGTAGTATAAGAGTAAAATATATAAATCACATATTCCAAAAAATACATCAAAACTCAAAAGTTCTACAAAATAAAATGTGACAAAAATATTTTTTTAATCAAATAATCAATGATAATACATAAGTAAGTTAAATAAAAGTTTTAGATATATGGTAATAGGATGTGTATTTAGGAATGGAGGGAATATATTCTTAATATATACAAAATTAAACTTCATGTGTTGTACTATTCCAATTTAGCATTGGATCCGTCGTTCGTCCCAAAAAGACTTACATAAAAGCTAAAATGAAGTCAAATTCAAAGTTTTCGCTTTCTGTTGCAGGAGTGTCGAGGTTAGTGGATGAATCATAGTCTGAAAAGGAAAAGGAAGTGGATGAATCCAAAGAAGATTCAGGAGAGGCCATGAAGAAGCTTAAGAAGAGAAGAAAGAATAAGTGAATGCATTCAATGCATTCCTTAAATAGAATTCTGATTTTGATGTATTTCCATTTTCGTTTTGGAGGGTTTTTGGTTGGAGAGAAGTTCAAATTTTCCCAAAAAAAATTGGTGGCTGTAATTGTGTTCAGCCGTACAGGAAGTATGGACTGCTTCCTGTTTTCCTCTCATCAGTGTACTGGCGATTTGATTGCATGTGTACTCCATTTAATTATTTAATCCCACTTTACACTATTCATACTTTTGCTATTCTCTACTTTATTTTAGGGTTAGGGTAAAAAGGGAAAGTCAAAGCACAAATATCCCTCCTTTAATTCCTCCAAAAGTCAAAACCGGAACATTATTAAGGGACGAAGAGAGTAAAAATTACGGAGTACATGTTTAAAAACTATCAAATAATTAAAGAAAAGTATACTCCAAAAAAAATGCGAAATGTGTAAATTATTTTGAAAAAAAAAAAGATGAGCCCCATCACCGAGGGTCCCCTCAGACCCGGCCGGATGGTCCCACGAAAGAAAGTAAATTGGATTTTAATCACAGATTAGTGACAAAGAATGAAGTCTGCACCTGGTAGTTGCATAGACACTATGCTTAGCATAATTGTCTCCCAACGCAGTTGGCAGGACTCGAACTCGGGTCTTACTCCGTTGGCACTCATTTCCTTGCCAACTGTGCAACCTCCAGCGACTCTAAATTATTTTGGGAGGAAGAGTTTGGCAAGAGGTATGTTATCCTCACGCGAAGTGTGTCAATTATTGGCCTATTTGAGCTACAATGGGAACATAGAGACATGAATGGCCCCTGTTTTTCAATCAATCAAATCGATTTACTAAAAGAGAGAAAAGGGCAAAAATGGTAACGCTGTGATTTGGCGCCCCTGTTTTGTTAAACAAAAAAAGAAAAATTGTGACCCCCAATAATCGTATAATTTGATTCTCCCTCATCATACTTCCTCTGTCCCTAAATATTTGTCACACTTCAATTCTCGAGGTAAAATATTAAGTTTTTTCAATTCATTTTATTTACATATCGGTATAGAAATAAAAAATAAAATTTACATATCAAAAAACTACATGAAAAGTTATTCGAAATAAGAGGTGTTAAGAATATTTTATTTTACCAAATAACCAATGAAAACGTAGAAATAAACAAAAAATCTCACAACTTCCGAAAAAGCAAATGTTGCAAATAATTTGGAACGGAGGGAGTATAACAATGTCTATTTTTCCTTTTTCGTTCTTAAAAAAAATAAACTCAAAGTCTCAAATAATACTTCCTTCGTTCCTAAATCATTTATTCTTTACGCAAAACGAAGTATAATTTTAAATTTTTTCAATTTTTTTTATTTAAAGATTGGTATATAAATAAGAAAAAAATTAAATTACATATTCAAAAAACAAGTAAAAAAATTCTACAAAACAAGATATGACAAGAATATTTTATTTAATCAAATAATCAATAAAAACATACACATAAACAAATAATTCCGCAATTTTTTAATAATAAAGTGTGTAAATCATTTAAGGACGGAAGGAATACGTATGTGAAACAAAAAGCTTACCTCTTCAAATAATAAATTCTAACTACATTTTTTAAATAGGGAGTACTTTTTTTAATTCTATAAAAGGCAAAACCAAAAAATATTATTACACGACACAAGGAATATTATCAAGAATAATTTAACGATTGATTTATGGAAGTTCAAATAAATACTCTGATAAATCCACTATTTTACGTTAATATACTTTGTTACAATAGAGAGATGCGCAAGAAGGGATTGAATCCCGAAGGGATTCTCAGTTTGGTATTTTTCTATTTTAGTTTAGTTCTTGTTTTAGAATAAAATAAAATTATGGTAGGAATTGAAGTTTATTTAATTGTTTTACACTCTTCTTATACAAAGAGGGATAATCTTTGTAATCTCCAAGACAATTTAATATAAAAATACTTTCTCCTCTTATTTATTGTTTTCTATATGGTATCAGAGCAAAGTTTTTAGTGACCTAAAATTTTGTGCCTTTGCTCCTTGTGGGTGCCACCACCATTAGCCGCCCGTCGGGCCGTTGTTGAATTCTTCCTCTTATCCAAATTCCTTAGGACCACCAAATCCACCAAACCAACAACACGCCAAACCTAAACATATATTGAATCACAAGAATTACCATCATTCCATTCTCTTTCCGCTCATCACCTTACCACAGAAACAAATTCAAATTGGTTTGTGGAAAGTGACGCACCAATTGTCAAGGTCTCTTTGGCCGCAAGTCACTCGTGTCATCCTTAGATAGATGTTCCTTCTCAATGAAGAATATGACTCATAAAGAAGTCGTCCAACAAAGGTAATTCTGCAGAATGAGAACAATTTCTTCAAGGCAAAAATTTAAAAAAAATGACGTTGAGGATGTTCGAAAAAAATAACGTTCGACTTGTTTGTTTGAATTTGGTGAAGAACCGAAAAGAATAACATTCCTTTTCTCGACTGATTATTCGGCAGATTCGAAAAGAGTGGCGCCTTCGTCGATGGAGAAGATATTTTTTGGAACCACGACACACAATATTACCACAACAAAACAATGTTTTACATCAAGCAAGCTCTATAGCAATCTACAGACAAACATTAAAAATACTACTCCCTCCGTTTGGAAAAAACCTTCCCATTTTGATTTGGGGCAAAAATAAGGAAGTGTTAATTTATAGTTGATTTCCAATTTTGCCCCTGATGTGATGGATAGATTATTATAGAAAAAGTATGATGTGATAGGTAGGGTATGAAAAAGTAATGGTTAAAGTAATTTTTTAATAGAAAAAGGAAGTGTTTTGTTGGAAGTAGAAAAAATAAAAGAGGAAGTATTTTTGAGAACGGAGGGAGTATTGTTAAGCTTACTATTAATGAAACATTTGATATTGAATCAAACATGGGCCTCACATTCTTCAGTGCTTGTTGGTTTCTTTTGATGGATTATCATGTTCTGGGCCTTCTCCAAACTACGTAGCAAACAACTGCCCAAGCA